TGGGCAGAGCCACCTGGTCCGTAAGCTCCCTTTTGATTTTAAGTTTGCGTGTGTGCATGCACATGCATGCCATGTTTGAATATAGATTTTATTTCTGGAAAAATGTCCAAACACTTGTACCCTTTTAGAAAAGTGATTTTATGATCGTTCCTTTTGTATCCTATACTTTGATACCACACACATTATCTTTTTATTAAAAAGAATTCAGTGATCCTTTGAAACACAGGTTCCTGGCCCCACCCGGGAGCTACTGAGCCATTTCTTCACGGGCCCTGGAACCTCATTGGCCTCACACCACCCAGATGACTCAGAGACCGCCCAGAGCAGGGAGCGGGTGCGAGGCAGCTGAGCGCAAGCGCAGGGTCCCTGCTGAGCGGACGGGCAGCGGAAGGGGTTGCTTCACCAGAGTAAGCTTCACGGTCCTCATTGCTATAACATTCTGTGATTTGTTTCTTTAAGGAAAGAGTTGTGACAAAGGACAGTCTTTTTTGACTGACGCCCCAGATTCGCCAGCCACATTAGCCTACAGAAGTATAATCCAAAGTAAGAGTCTAAGTGCGTCTTGTAGCCTCCAGAGCCTGCAGGGCCAGGAGGTGACACTGGGCACAGTGGGTGGGCGGGGAGGAACTACCTTCCTTTTAGGATGACAGTGGACCCCGCTGCGCCACCGCAGGTGGGGGCAGTAGTGGGGTGGGGCCAGGGTGGCGTGAGGTGTGACTCTCCTCAGCAAGGTGTACAGTGGGAGACCTCCGCCTCCATGAAGCTGTGGCAGAAAGCCGCATGTTGTCTGACCCTGCCCTGGGCACTCATGGGCGTCCATTGCTGGGCAGGATGCCGGCAATGAGGGTGAGCACTGGCTGCGTGGCTGGGCAGCTCAATGCCGAGGGTAAGCTACCCCGGAGTGCCCGTGTCGGGATGTGCTGTCAGCTGGGACTCGGGTGAAGAGCTGCCATGCATCTGTGCTTGTCGCCTTTTCCCAGGAGTCCGAGCGTTTTGTCACCGACACCCTTCCCACGAGGAGGAGCAGCGCAGCACGTCCTGAGCGGAAGCGGCAAGGACAGGCCAGAAACGCTCAGCCAGGGCCCAGTCAGCAGCACGTGGAGCGTGCCGTGCGCATGGGCACAGCGGCGGGGCCCAGTCCCTTCCCAGGGACGCTCCGTGTCTAATTCTGTGCATATGCAAAGAGCCTTCCTGACAAGTGTGCTGATTTCCAAATAAAAAACATCTCCTTCCCCTCTGCATCTCGGGACTTCCTTCCCAGGACACACACTGGGTCCCAGGGCTGTGGTTTCTCCAGGACCAGGACGGAGCCATCTATGGAAGCCGCCCGTCTCTGAAGAGAAGCCCGAGAGAGAGAACTGGGGGCCTGGGTGCGACTCATGACAGCACAGCACACAGCCGCGTTATCAAGCAGCACAGGGACTCATGCAGCCAAGGTTAAAAATGGCTCCGAGGCCAGAGCCCAAGGTGCAGTTTTGTGGTGTCAGAGTAACTCGGGAGAAGCCCTCAACACCCACAGTAACAGCTGGGCAGTCCTTCTGGTAATGCCCTGTGCCCGTAATGTGTAGAGCTGTACTGAGGCCCTCTGTGAGGAGAGGACCTGCTGCCCCCCCCTCTCCGGGCACAGAAGTGGAAGGCTGAGACATCCCCTGCTCTTTCCCTCCGCCTCCCCACCAGGCCTCATCCCCTCCTTTCTGCCTGGCCCTCCCTCCGTCCAGTTTGCACAATGCACTATGAAGAAGGTTGGCCCGACCTTCCCGGCCCAAGAGTAGGCTGTGGAGCCTGGGATGACCCGGTGCCTAGTCCCTGACCTGGCTGAGACTCCCGTCACCCCAGACCACTGCCCCTGTATATCCCAAGAGCCCTCCTCACCTAGTGCTGGTGGATCTCCAGCCCCTCGAGGCCCGGCTTCTGGAAGTCATCAGGGCAGGCCTGCAAGGGAAGAGTCACCCACGTGCCCATGCCGACAGGCAGCAGCGCCCTGTGCTGCGTCAGGGCCTGAGCAGCCCTGCACGTCCTCAGGGCCAAGCTGGTCGCTGTGTGCCAGAGTCTAAAGCCATGCCATTCAATCTCATTCCTAACGTCTAGAAATAACTTGTTAAGGGCGCGGGTAAAATCAACCCCAAATCTTGTGGGTTTCCCCCCCTTCTTAAGCCAGTCGTTTTAAAATCTGTTCAACCTCACAAGCACAGCCTGGGGGTGGAAACCGAGCCTGCAGTTGCCAGCAGGCCTTATCTGGTGGGTCTGGGGTGGCCCAGTCACTCACCGTCTGGAACACGGTCTGGGGCAGGAAGCTGGATGTGACCCTGCTGATGTCACCATCGCCGCCCATCTTACAGAGGATGTAGCCGTACAGGTTAGCTGCTTGGAGAGAAATCCCAGCGATCACAAGGGCCTGGTGCAAACAAAGCAGCAGTGTGACGCTTCAGGTGCTGGAACGCCCCTCCTGAGCCAAGCAGATGTGGCCCTAGCCAACACCTGCTGGCGACTGCCTGCCTCACCGGCCATGGACAGACACTCCCTTGAGGGGCCCCCTACCTTGGTCCTTGGTGTCCACTCACAGCCAGCACCATTATCCCACTCTACGGGGAGGAAACGGGCCCAGGGAAACTGAAGTCGTCCAGGCTTACAGAGTGGACACCTGGTCCAGTCTAGACTGGACGGCGGAGCCCATACTTCTCAGTATACCCCGGGGGCCTTAGTTTGTGTCCAGATACTGTGTGCCCACCTTCAGCGTGCCAGCCTGGCGGGGCAGTGGCACGCCTCCAAGAGAAGCCTTCAGGCCTCTTCTTCCTGCTCAGGCAGATGTCCCCACCCCGTGCAGGGTGCCCACGGCTCCTTTCCAGCAGCAAAGGTGATGGGAACCCTCACTTAATTACAAAAAGAGGCAAGAGAGGGCACCCTCCCAAACGTCCATGAATGGAAGCTGGATAGACAACCATCTCGTCACTCAGCCATGGGAAGGGGGGAAGGAAGGCGTGGAGCACAACATGGACACAGCACAGAAGCACGGCCCTGAGGCAGGAAGCCAGTCACAGGGTCACACGCCTGTCTGGACCCACTGACAGGAAATGTCCAGAAGGAGCAAATCCCGAGACAGAAAGTAGCATAGCAGACAGCCAGCTGGCTGGGGCTTCAGGGAAGGGAGGATGGGGGTGATCGCTAATGGTGATAGGAATACTCTAAAGTTGTTATAGTGTCTGTACCCCTCTGAGCAGACGAAAAGCCATAGAATTGGACACTAAATGGGTTAATCACATGGTATGTGAATTTTATCTCAAATAGGTACTTGACGGCAACTAAACCAACAACTGAAAACCCCATTTTCACCACTGCTGGTTTCATAAGCTATCGAACGAAAAAGCTCACTGCCCCAGTGTCAGTTCTGACTCAGCGCAAACCTGGGAGGCAGCAAAGCGCTGTCAGAACCATGGTCGCCTTTTGATCTGGAACACGACAGGAGAATCCTCAGCAAAAGGGTAGTGGGGGGAAGGGGGCTGCTGAGCAGAATTTCAAATTCCTAATGGAACACAGACGTTATGGCTCATGGAAGCTGGGAGAACTTCTGAAACGATTGCCCTAAAATAATCTTTAGACCTTAAACCAAAAATATCCCCCAAAGTCTTCTTAAAACCAAACATTAATTTAGCTTACAAACTATGTCTGCCTTGAGCCCTTTCCACGTCACTATGGGATCGAATGGACAGCAGTGACCGGGAAGGGAAGAGTCCGTAAATTCAGAGTGCTGTGGGCTGGCAGGCATGGAGTGGGACAACGCACACAGGCAAGGGGGCAAAGCCAGTGTCACTGTGTTGTAGTGGTGACCGAACTGGTGTCTACTGGGTGTTCTCAAGGACCACAATAAAGTGTGGGTGTGGGTATCATCTTACCAGCCACTTTAGCTTCAAGGAAAACAAGGTGCTGAAGAAGAACACGATCCAAATCATGGGGCAAATGATGAGGCCAAGCCAGAAGATGCGGGCTTCAGCTTCGGTGGCCGCCATGTTGCTGGCCGGGACCTGCGGGGGGACATGACCCCGTTCTCAGAGAATGGCTCTGATGCGTGTGCCCGGTGTGCACAGTCTCCACGGAGCACCCCAGCGCCGTGTGCGCAGGGCCCGAATCAGACGCTGCACCACTGCAGGGGCCGCCGGCCGGACAGCGTGCACCACCTGTCCCAACTGTCCCGACTTCATGGAGAATACCTTTCTGGCTTCAAATATCCAGTGGCTCTTCCCGTCTTCGTCAATCTGGTTCCACCACCGAAGGCCCGCCAAGACTCTCCCGGTTACATTCTGAGGAGAAGACACAGGAACGGACAGTGAGGGACCACAGGTGCCCCCTGCGACACTGAAGCGTGCCAGAATGATGGGCCAGCGGGAACTCATCCCTTCCTCAGGAGCTTGGGGCGCAAGTAGGAAGACGGGGCGTGAACAGGGCACTCTCAGTGTCTGTCTCCAAGACTTCTGAGTTTGAATTATGCACACCTCCAATACTTCATGGAGATAATGTGCATCTTAAAAGGGGCAGCGTTCCCCTGATTTATTTATAGACATCCATCAACCAGGGGCCTCCGAGTGGGCACAGACTCACAGCAGCCCCTGATGTGTCTGAGGGGAGCGCATTCCAGGGGTTTTCAAGGCTGTGTGTGACCTTCTGGAAGCAGATCACCAGGCCCATCTTTCAAGGTGCTTTGGGTAGGTTTGATGGCCAACCTTTCTGTTTGTAATCAAGCACTAAACTGTCTGAGTCACCCAGGGATGGATGGATAGGTAATATACCATGATAAAAGTTCATGGAGAATTTCCATGATCCCTTGTTCTACTTGGCCTTGAACTTTCTGAAGCCTCCTTGTCTCTGTGGATGTGTGTATTATACACACACACCCCTGTCCAGTGTCCCGCAGTATTATACACACACACCCCTGTCCAGTGTCCCGCAGTATTATACACACACACCCCTGTCCAGTGTCCCGCAGTATTATACACACACATCCCTGTCCAGTGTCCCTCAGTATTATACACACATCCCTGTCCAGTGTCCCGCAGTATTATACACACACATCCCTGCCCAGTGTCCCGCAGTATTATACACACACATCCCGGTCCAGTGTCCCGCAGTATTATACACACACATCCCGGTCCAGTGTCCCGCAGTATCTGCAGGAGATTATTTTCAGGACCCCCCTGGAGATAACCAAACCCACAAGCACACACTCAAGTCCCCGCTATAAAATGGTTAACATCTCTGAGGTTTCCTTGCATATAACTTAGTTCACATCCTCTCAGGCATGGTTTCCCAAAGTGGGTGAGACCACCCAGGATTTGTGGGGGGACCGGAACGATCGGGGAGGGGGGCCAGGGGAGCTGAAAAAGCAGATACCAACACTTTGTTCTGAATTATGGGCTGTCACAGAAAAGTTTTTAATTGCTGGGGGTGGGGAAACTTAATTTTTTTTTTCTGAAGAGGGGATGATAGGCCAAATAGGTTTGGAAACTTGTGATTTCAGCCATCTCTAGATTACTTACAGCACTGAATGCAAGGTAGACACTATGCCTGGCACTGTACCATCCATTTTAGCCTGTGAGGGCTCGGATCACATAGTTGCTTTCCCCCACCCCCACCCCTTAATTTTTTCCATCCAAGATTTGTTGAGTCTTGAATCTGCAGGCAGGAAAGCGTGGATCATACATGTGCATGGACAAAATCCACATATCATGCATTGTGTTTATACATGGTGCGTTGTATGTGTAAGTTTTACCCAAAGCTCTCTAGGAGATGTATTTGCAACCATGCAGTGGATACCAAAAAGCCATTTAGTAAACACTCAACAGTGTACTTTTCAGACCAATTTTAGTAGGCACTTGCTGGAAGTTCTTAAATATGTATCGGCTGGTTGAACCAAAGTTTCCCTCCTAAAACCCCTCACCCCTCTGGGGCAGAGCCAGGCACCGGGGATGGGACGGGGGCCTTACCTTCACTGACCAGAAGTCCAAGGACAGGAGCAGCAGCACGGTGACAAAGCAGCCCACGAAGCTGCTGCTGAACCAGTCACAGCACAGGTAGGTGAGGATCGCACTCACTCGGAAGAACAGGTGGAAAAAGGTGGCCAAGGGGTGCCTAGGAGACAGACCGGAAGACCATTCACTCAAGCCCGGGAGCCTGTGTGCTCAGACCACTGAGCAGCCTGCAGTGAGCGGGATGATCCAGAATTCTGAGTAGCCTGGAGCAAGTGGATTGTTCTGGAACCCTGAGCATCCCACAAAGAGAAGAGTGTTCCACACTCCTGAGCACCCCACAGTGGAATATTCCAGACAGCTGACCACATGGAGTGGAATATTCTAGACTCTGCACTGCACAGTGGACTGTTCTTTGGGGCACTTCACACCAAAGCCCCACCAGGCTGCAGTGTTGAGGAGCCTGCTGCCCTTATTCAGCAGTCCCCTAGCTTGGGAGTCTCCATCACACCCGTCGCATTTTCCATCTCCCTCAAAGAATTCAGTACTTTCCACTGATCTGATTCCAAATATCACTTGCCCTCTTGGGGAACACAATCACCTTTGAAATGAAACATGATACCATCCTCTCATCTTTGAAGTGGGACGTGACAGTGCACTGCTTCTGACACCCAGTAACGATAAGGACCAGTTCCCTAAAGATAAAGGTTGGGCCATTCCCCTAGCAAGTCAGCAGTCCCCTTGTGCTGTCCCCCTGGGCTGAAGTCCTGGAGGGAATGAACAGAACACGCCCAGGACAGCTGGAACTCATCCGCAGGGTGCAGCACAGAGAGTGGACATTCACCCTTGGGCCCCTCAGCCAGCCAGAGGGAACAGAACAAGCTGGAAGACAGCCTCTCGCACCCCCACCCCACCCCTGCATCCCTCAGCCCACTGCTCATCGGGACGAGAAGGGAGGGCAAACCAAGACCAATCTGTCTAGAGCAGATAATAAATGCATGCATGGGACACAGGGCCAATGGCAGGGGGGGGGGCACTGTGTTTCTTTCAAACCCCATTCCCGACAGAGCCCAGGGAGAGAAACATCAGCTAGGACCATGGATGACCACTCCAGGATCACCCCTGCTGTCGAGAGCAGGAGAAGTCAGGGGAGAGCTCCCCTTCAGGGCCAGGTGAGGTGCGAGCACACCCCTATCCCTGATAATCTTCACAAGAAATCCCAAAAGTGTTTGTTTTAAAAAGGCTGGGTTTACATTGTCCCACAAGCCACCAGCCTACAATCTCTAGATGCCACCACCACACCTACCGCCATCAAGTGGGCTCAACTCATGTGGACTCTGTAGGACAGAGCAGAATGGAATGGCTCTGTACAGGAAGGCAGCCTCATCTCGTCCCTAGAAGCTCTGGTTTAGAGTTCCAAAATAGTGTGGACTTTCCAAAATGCGAGGCAGGATGGGGCTACGGGAAAGAGAGAGGCTAGAACTGTGGGTGAGCGCGCCTGCTTGCCCTTCCAAAGAAGGAGCGCGGTAGAGTCAACAGACTGCCTTGGTTAGGGGTTATGTCCAACCAGACACTCCGGGGTGAGGGTAGGGGCAGAGCTCAACTTCTCTATTGCCAGGAAGCCTGATGACAACTCTTGGGTCTCCTGCTGCTCTGCCTGCTGGTCCCAGGAATTGTCAGTGGCCTACTGATGGTGGATCCATTTGGCTCGCTTCGGACCTCTGCATCCACCAGCCTGTGACCCCTGCTGTCTGTTTCATCCTCTTGGTCTTTCCTCAATCTCCTGTTGTGCCCGGTGCTGATCCCAGGAACCACCAGCGGACTACCCCGACTTGACCTGGACAGGACTTAACCTAGCTCGACCACTGTGTAAGACATCCCTTGATATACATCTCTTCCTCTACACATCACTGGGTTGGTTTCTCGAGAACACAACCTAGGACACCCAATATAATCACCAAAAATCCAGCCAGCTACTGAGTCGGCATCAACTCATGCGGCATCAACTCATGGCAGCCCCGAAGCTGTTGGCATTTTCCATGGCTCCTTTTCAAAAATAGATTGCCAGCCCGTTTTTTTCCCAAGGGGCCTCTGGGTGGAATCGAATGGCCAGTTTTATTTTTCAGTTCAAGGCTGTGCTTATCAACCATTTATACCACTAGGGACTCCCCCACAAATGGTAAATCCCCAAAGCCCAAGACCACTGCCACTGGGTCAATTCCACCTCTCAGCAGCCCTCGCTTGTGTTTTCGAGGCTTTGAACATCTTTATAGGAGCAGACAGTCTCATCTTTTTCCTGTAGAGTGGCTGGTGGATTTGAACTGTCGACCTTGCAGTTGGCAGTCCGATGCCAACCTGACAGTGCCACCAAGGATCCTTTACACAAACTACAGACTCATAAAATTGATGGGCTTTCTGACGCTCATGGGAACTTTGGTGAAGATTCAATATCACAACTTCTGGTGACTTTTCAGCATTGACTCCTGATGCTACTGAGAAAGGAAAACAAGCACAAACCACACCCACCGCCATCCAGGTGATGCTGACGCGTAGGGACCCTATAGGGCACCATAGAACTGCCCCTGTGAGTTTCCGAGACTGCCACTGTTTAAAGCCCCCTCTTTGTCCCAGAGGAAGGAGAAAAGGTTGCCAAACCAGCAGCTATTTGCTAGGACAGTTCCCATCAGTGCCTCAGACACGGCTGTCCTGAGAGCCACCTGGGGGACAGGCTGGCCTGAGAAGCACACCCGGCAGTAAGGACTAGACGGGACCAAGAAACACTTCAAAACCTGGAATGTTCCAGAAGATGACTCTCTTGGGACTCTTAACAAGGGTTACCTTGTGTAGTAGTTAGGGATTGTGTCAACTATACACTCCTGGGTAGGGGTGGATGGAATCAAACCTGTCAACCAAATTGAAGCCTGATGACTCACCTCCTGGAGGCCATAAGCCTTTGGTTGAAGAGCCAGGTGAACAGAGACCGTCTCTCTCTCTGCCACTTCTCCTTCCTGCTGGCTGGGACTCTGCTGATGACTCTGAGAGCTGTCAGTGTCCGGCCATGTTCCCACCAGCTTTGGATCCATGTGACTCTGCACCCAGCACCCTGTGATCCTCCTGCTTCTCGGCTCACCTTTCTGTGCCACCGCCATGAGGCCACCTGAGTCTAAAGACGGACTTATGGACAAGCACCAGACTTATGGTCTTGAGGCGGACTGGGCTGGGCTGGCTTCTTGATACATGAAATTACTTCTTGCTATAAAAGTCTCTCATAGACATAGATGAGTGTCCCTGGATTTGTCTCTGGACAACCAGGCCTAACACATCTTGAATACTGTGTTTTTCCCCCCTTAAATCTTACTGAAAATCGTTCAACTCGTTGTCTTAATCCAACTTTGCACCTCTTCCAGTAGCTGGAAGTTCTGACCAGCTTTTAGAAACCTTGGTGTCCGGGGTATCGTTGTGTGCTGTCACGTGGATTCTGACTCATAGCCAGGCTACAGAAGAGAGTACAACTGCCCGGAGGGTTTTCAAGGCCGTCAGTCTGTACCAAAGCAGACCGGCCCACCCTCCTCCCTTGGGGTGGCTGGTGAGTGCCACCCACGGATGTTTCAAGGCACAGCCAAGCGTGGCACCATGGCACCGTCGGGGCTCTTGCATCTTGGCTCTCACCTAGCACTTTAGAATCGGTGAGTCTGTGTTCAGCCAAACCTTGTAATCTGTTCAATTAGGATCACTAGTAACTTGGGGCCTCCTAATAGATTTAAGGAACCCTAGTGGTGTAGTGGTTACGCATTGGGCTGCTCAGCAGTTTGAAACCACGGAGAAAGACAGGGCTCTCTACTGGAAAGAGCTACAGTCTCAGAAACTCACGGGGACAGTAAGATTGCGATGAGTTGGGATCGACTCCATTGGTTTCCTGCGGATTTCCGGAAATCAAATGCAAACAAGTGTCCAGTTGCCGGAAGGCTCCCCTTAGCTGGGTTCCGGTTACCAGCCTCCTTGTTTTCCCTTTTCTTCTTATTGCTTTGAAGGGAGCTGATTCCAACTCCTGGCATCCCCATGGTGTCAGCTAGACCTGATTATGTTGGAAGGAGATAGTCAGGTTTTTGTTCCAAGATGCCCCTGGGAGGACTTGAATCTTTCCGTGAGCAGCTGAGCACACGGACTGTTGGTACTTCCCCGACATGGATGGAAGGCATTAGTATCACACAAACAAAGCCCAAAGCAAGTGGATGGGCTCCTTACAGGGGCTGCCTACAGCCGGTCCAAACACATCGGCTGTATGATGAACCCTCTCTCTCCACACACACCCCATTCTGTGCACATCCAGAATTGGCCCAGCCTGTGCCCCCAACTGATACAAATGTCTCCTCAGACCAGTTCCCTGGTTTGGGGGCCTAGGAGGCCATAGTTAAGCTCTGTCTTCCCTGCCCCGGGCCTCTGTTGTCTCCAAGAACTCTCCCAAGCGCTCTGGCACATGCCCATGCCTGCACACACATGCACGACTGCTTCCAGGTTGCCCCCTCCAGAGGTGGACCAGTACAGTGGTGATAAGCCTGTTACATAAGCTCTTGTTGCCTCCGTTTCCGCTTCTGTCGGCAGGAAGGCCAACACTAGTCACTTCACAGGAATGTTGGCAGATCGAATGCAGACAGGAGGCCCTACAAAGTGCTCAGAGCACACGCGGCCCCCACCAGCCCCAGTGGGGGACAGTCCCTCAGCTCCACCCCCAAGAAGCCGCGCCGTAAATTCCCCCTCAGACCACAACTTTCTACACCTCACTCCCGAGGGGCCCATGGTTTCATCGCTCGCTGCGGGGATCGCCCGACCCGACCCCTCTGCTTTCACCTGAACCGGCTTCATCCACACAGGTCACGCCCCTGCGCCCGCCAGCAAGCCCCGCCCCCTGGCAGGTAGAGGGTGAGTGCCCCGCCGGGAGGTGGAGCAGGTGCAGACTTTTGAAGGGGGAAATGAAAACACTTAAATCAAGTGCCGTCCTGGTGGGGGAAATTTTGAGGGTTTTTGTTTTGCTTTGTTTGAAGTCCTTGCTATTTGTGCATCCAGCAGGAAAGAGGAAGCCCCTCGGCCAAATGGAGTGACGTGGTGGCTGCAGCGATGGGTTCAAACAGCCTGTCTGAGGGGTGCCCAGGACTGAGCGGTGTTCACTGCCGTGCACAGGGGCCCGCTGGGTCCGAGCTGCCTCGATAACATCTATGAATCCAGTGGGCCAGGTCTGGGCATCTCCCAGTCTGGACAGAAGTGCGGCAGACTCCCGATCAAACACGTACTCCCGAGCCCTCCGCATGTGTGCACAGTGAGGGGTCAGAGTTGATGCTATGGCAGTGAGCGCGGTGTTGGGGTGTTAATCCTGACCCAGGGCTCAGGAGATCCAAGGTTGGGCCCAGGCCCAGGCTTGAACTGTCTTCCATGTGGAAGATCCAGGTTCGATTCCAGGCCAATGCATCTCCAGCTGCCGGTGGGGCTTGGGGGTTACTATGATGCTGCACATCTTTCAGGGACTCGTCGCAAGAGGGTTAGGAAGAAGTCCGATCTGTCGACTTATGGAAACCAGCAATGAACACCCAGTGGACCAAAATGGTTCAGCATTCAACCCATCTTGCGGGTGGCACAGCCTTCTAGGGGCCATGGGAGTGGAAGCCAACTTCTGGCAGCGAAAATCAAGTCTGTTTATTGGGATTCAGGCCCCAGCTGGCCCTTGGTGGCCAGTGAGCCCAATGGTGCAGGCATGTGGGGAGAGTTGGAGGTGAACTTCCCTCCACTCAAAATAAAGCCAACTGCAGAGACCTGCCCCCCACCCCTCATTTGCTCCACAGAGCTGCAGGTGGGGGCGGCCTGACTGGGCCCCTCCCCTCCCCCCCAGGGGCGGGGCGCTAGAAGTCAGGCCCATGTTCTCTCTGTGGATACCAGTCACACTCTGAACCTGAACCACGTGTGCACATGGCTCAGAAGTCCTTGGACTAGACGCTTAAGACCAGTCACTTCTTGTATGAACACTTCAAGATCCTTAAAAAAAAAAAAAAGAAAGAAAGAAA